ATAAATAAATAAAGAAATAAATAAATATGGAAATAATAAAATGAAAGTTACCTTCACAACAACATCTAGATTGCTATTTGACCGAGCAGCTGGGTATCATAACCTACTTATGTTGACACATAAAATTAACCATTACATTATGTAAAATACAAAATCATAGAAATGTAGGTATCTTAGATCTCATAGTCCAATTTCCTTTTTTTGCAAATAAGAAATCAGATCAGAGAAGATAAGCAGCCAGTTTATACACGTGCATTCCCAGGAGAATGAGCACACCCAACTTTCCAGAATCTTTCAGAAACTGCTTGCTACCTTTTAGTAAAATTAAGTGGAAAATTAAATTCTTCTAAAACACTACCTATTTCTATTTTAAAGATTTGATTAGTAAAACTCAGCAAGCAGTCAGTTTATTTTATTATGTGTATTCAGACTAATGCCCCCAAGACCCTGGATGTTGGGATGACCTTTAGAGTAGAGGAGGAGTCTAGAAATAGCTAACACAGCTCTCCCAGAAAGCATACTTCTCTCTCAAGTCTACTCCTGTTCCTTCTCCACCTCACCCCTCACCTCTCTAGTCTCATCTCTCACTTCTCAGGCTTCCTAGTACTTGATGCCTCCTTTTGCCTCTGGTCTTACAAACAAGCTCTTCCCCTCTGAAGCTGAAACACTCTTCCCCCACCGCCACCGACCCCTTTCGCCTAGCTAAAAAGCCCATTCATGCTCCAAGTCTTGGCTTAGAAATTTTTTCCTCAGGACATGCTTTCCCACCTTCACTGGACTGGGTTAGATGTCCAGTACCAACCCCTAGATATTTATCTATATTCTCACTTGGGTCTTGTTCCATAGTATCCTCAAAATTACAATCTGTCCAGAATTAAAAGACAGTCGAAAATATTTATTGGAAGAAGGATGGAAGGCAGGATGAAAGGAAAAAAGGAAGAAAGGGGAAAAGAAGGAAATTCTGTAGGCTCTCTCTTGCACTGTACAACTTAGGTCTGGGCCTGTGAAAGCATTTGCTCAGATAATTGTTGGGTACAGAGTAACTCTGATTTTTTTCAGGTGCCGGGGAGTCTCTGCCTAGTGACCTAGCATCCTTGGGATTTACTTTGCCAGCTTTTAGATGTTGATAACACCAAGGAATTAGGGGTACAAGGGACCAGGAGACTGGACCAGGGTGGTAGCAGCCGGAATGGAAAAGGACCACGGGACATTTCATGGGTAAACTGGATTGCATTAGTTGAGATGTGAAGGAGAAGGGTGCAAGATAAGGAAGGTGGGAGAATCTGATTTCTGTCACAAGGCAATATCGTCAATCTCATATTGAATTTGAGATTCTTAAACATCTTTTAAAAAAGTTTAAAATATAAATGAAAACCTACAGTCCTTCACAAATCTTTCATCTTTATATTAATTACTGTTATCAAAGAAGCACTCACTTAAAAATAGCTGTATTAAAATCTTGGTTAGTATATGCATGAGGGAAAGCCGTCAAAATACATACTGTTAGTATTGATTACCTCTGCAAGACAGAATTAGAGGAGACTTTTGTTTCCTAAGTTATACATTTTGACATTGCTTAAATTTTTACAAGGAGCATATTACTTTATAATCAGACAAAAATATAATTTAAAGCACTTCTATGACATTGCAAAATAGCCCAAGAATGGAAGGAGGGTCATCATCTTCAACAGCTGGGGCAAATTTCACACCCTATAAATGAAAACCAGGTATCCACTGGGAGTTTGTGCATTAAGACAGGGAAAATGTTGTAATACAGTCTTGGCTCACAACAGTGCTCAGTAATGTTCAATAATTGAATTTATAATTAGACTAAATAATATTTAACAATTTGACTATAGAGTCGATGCAACTTGTCATTTTCCCCAGGGCATGACAGACTAGGTACTTATTACCAGGAGCATAAAAAGTGTCTGCCCTGAAGGCCATTGGCGTCTAAGGTACCTTAATATCACCTGCTTTTCCCTTATTACTACTCTCCAACAATCCAATTCTTTTCTTCTTCCTCTGCCTTCCTCATCTTCCCAGCCGTTTTTAAAAATTGTTTATGGGAACCACAAGAGGGCAGCAGCCTCAAGTACAAGGAAGTCTCTCAGGCATTAGTGATCATAAAAAGCCCTTATTAAAATGTTATCAAGACTTTAGAGATTTCAGCAACTTGCTCTGAATATACGTGGGGACACATTTAATATTTTGTTAGAAATTATAAACAAAAAGTGGAAAAGGAATTCATACTGATAAGCGAAACTAATATATTCCTCTCTCTTACAGATGCTGTCCGAAAAGAGGTGAGATAGAAAAGAGAACAGTCTAGAACCTGGCTTACTCCTAATGTAAATTCTTTCACCAGGATGGAAGAAGGATCTTACCACAATGCAACTACTGTCAACGGTACCCCAGTAAATCACCAGCCTTTGGAACGCCACAGGTTGTGGGAAGTCGTCACAATCGCAGCTGTGACTGCTGTGGTAAGCCTGATCACTATTGTGGGCAACGTCTTAGTCATGATCTCCTTCAAAGTCAATAGTCAGCTGAAGACAGTTAACAACTATTATCTGCTCAGCTTGGCCTGTGCAGATCTCATCATTGGGATCTTCTCCATGAACCTCTACACTACTTACATCCTCATGGGACGCTGGGCTCTCGGGAGTCTGGCTTGTGACCTTTGGCTGGCACTGGACTACGTGGCCAGCAATGCTTCCGTCATGAACCTTCTGGTGATCAGTTTTGACCGTTACTTTTCTATCACAAGACCCCTGACGTATCGGGCCAAGCGTACCCCAAAGAGGGCTGGCATCATGATTGGCTTGGCCTGGCTGATCTCCTTCATCCTCTGGGCCCCAGCGATCCTCTGCTGGCAGTACTTGGTTGGAGAGCGAACGGTACCACCAGATGCATGCCAGATCCAGTTCCTCTCTGAGCCCACCATCACTTTTGGCACTGCCATTGCTGCCTTCTACATTCCCGTTTCTGTCATGACGATTCTCTACTGCCGAATCTATCGGGAAACAGAGAAGCGGACCAAGGACCTTGCTGACCTCCAGGGCTCTGACTCCATGGCTGAAACTGCAAAGAGAAAGCCAGCTCACAAGGCTCTGCTCAGGTCCTGCTTTAGCTGCCCTTGGTCCACACTGGCCCACAGGGAAAGGAATCAAGCTTCCTGGTCATCCTCCCGCAGGAGCACCTCCACCACTGGGAAGCCATCCCAAGCCACCGGCCCAAGCACCGAATGGGACAAAGCTGAGCAGCTCACTACCTGTAGCAGCTACCCCTCCTCAGAGGATGAGGACAAACCCACCACTGACCCTGTCTTCCAAGTGGTCTATAAGAGTCAGGCCAAGGAAAGCCCAAGCGAAGAATTTAGTGCTGAAGAGACCAAGGAAACTTTTGTGAAAAGTCAAACTGAAAAAAATGACTATGACTCCCCAAAATACTTCTTGTCTCCAGCTGCTGCTCACAGACCCAGGAGTCAGAAATGTGTGGCCTATAAGTTCCGATTGGTGGTCAAAGCTGATGGGACCCAGGAGACCAACAATGGTTGTCGCAAAGTGAAAATCATGCCCTGCTCTTCTCCAGCTTCCAAGGATCCTTCAACAAAAGGCCTTGATCCAAACCTTAGCCATCAAATGACCAAACGAAAGAGAATGGTCCTTGTCAAAGAGAGAAAAGCAGCCCAGACCTTGAGTGCCATTCTCCTGGCCTTCATCATCACATGGACCCCTTATAACATCATGGTCCTGGTTTCCACCTTCTGTGACAAGTGTGTTCCAGTCTCCCTGTGGCACTTAGGCTACTGGTTGTGCTATGTCAATAGCACTATCAACCCCATTTGCTATGCCCTCTGCAACAGAACCTTCAGGAAGACCTTTAAAATGTTGCTTCTCTGCCAATGGAAAAAGAAAAAAGTGGAAGAGAAGTTATACTGGCAGGGGAACAGCAAGCTCCCCTGAAAAGTTAATAACTTCCCTCAAAAGAATGACCATGTCAACTTCCACTGAGAATGGGCAAGCTGACTCTGGTTTATTTTCAAAAAAACAAACAAACAAAAAAAACAAAACAAAACAAATTAAAAAAAAAAAAAACCCAAATCTCTCATTTTGACTCCCTAAGGATTTTGTAAAGGCTCAAGGTCTGTGGCCAAAAAGGAGTCACTGCTGCCACAACTGATGCCATATTGAATGATTCTTATCTATGACTAAGGTCGCCTGAAGCAACTGGAGTTTGCTGTTGAAGAGACAGACTCACGGCTTTTCAAAGGAGGAGGCACACTGGGTCACAGTGAATAATGACTGAGGGAACTTTTGTCTAACCTGTGGGGAACAGCAAGGACCAGTTGGAAACCTTCCTCTGTAGAAACCTGTCACAGTGTTTCCTGCCATATGTATGTGTCTATGAAGTTGTCTCATACCAGTGAGAATTGGAAGAATGTAAGTCAGTGTCACCTGTTAACAAGAGTGATATTCAACCGGCTTCTAAGACTCTCTTTATAAACTGATCAGTATTTATTTACAAAGTATTTATTACACAGCTATTATGTGTTCTGCCCTGTGGTATGTTTTCCTGTACCTATATCTGAATGAAGCTCTTGCTTTTCTCTTTCATGACCAATGCCAATGCCTGATACCCAATGAAACCATGCTGGTCCCCACAAAACCATCTTTCCTCTCAGCATCCTGGGCCTGGAAAGACCCTGAAATCTGATCACACCCACTCCTAGAAAGGGGCCTCTATTCTGCCAAAAAAGATGATCAACTCTCCGCAGGCAGTATTTTAGTTTTTACCAGGGGGATTTTTTCTTTTTATCAAAACAAATATTGTGTGTTCTATTTGTGTCCATTTGAGCCCGTTTATTCATGCTCTGCTCTTAGGAAAACTAGCTGTAAAACAGCCCTTCACTGGGTAAAGATCATCCCCAGGCTGTTTCATCATAGTTCTCTGAAATTGTTTTCAGAGGTCTTATTTTCTAAACCCTTCACAAGGCAAACCTGAGGCAAAATGTGGAAAACAAATTTGGTTTCACTCCACGCTTCTAAACTTCTTCCAGGGCCTTTCAGCAGGCCTCCAATTTCCCTCATCCAGACTCCAATTCACACCCAGGCACAAGCATGTCACTGTGCAGTCTTCAGCCAAAAATGGAGTGACATCAGGAGAAAAGTTTTATTACTTTTTTTATAGGTCCTTCAATCATGGCTCAGAAATTATTTACTAAAAAAAAAAAAGGATTTACTTTTTCATTCCTCTCCAAATTCATGGTCAAAGATTAGAAGTCTAAAATGTACAGTTGAGGTCCAGTGAAGCTGGTCATAAAAACAAAAGCCTCATCTTTAAAAACAAAATGTAGGTCACAATAATGTGTAAAAATAAAAGTCATCTACATAATTTACAATAGAATATCAGGGTTATTAAAAACCAAATTTAATTGAAATCTCTGTGTATGTAAATAAACTGAATCTAAGATGTTTCTTTGATAATTCTGAAAATTAAAGCAATGTGTAAGAAATTGAAACTATAAAAACAGTGCACATAATTAAAGACCTACAAAGAAAGCAGTGTAGTACAGAAAGATTTTAAAGATGAAGCACTCCTGTCATATAGAAGCTCTTTATTTAACCTGTTGATTACATTTGCGGTATGTTTAAAAATCTCCAGACTTCATTTCACTTAATAGACACCAGTTCTTTTTCAGCCTCATTTGCTCAGGGGATGTAAAACAAACAAACAAACAAACAAACTAGTTTAGTTGTCCTGGGAATTAGGTATGTACTTGGGTGTAGGAGAGCTTCAGCCTACCACTGAAGAGCAAATCAGCCTCTTTGGGAAGTCCCAAGAAGGCTTCAGAGCAGTGCAAACCCAGGCCACCTCTCCAGCCCTGCAGGGACTGGATATTGAGGTGAAACATCTTGGAAGCGATGTAGCTGCTGAGCCTTTGTGTAGGGCAGGTTGACACCTGCCAAGAATTTGGTAGAGAATATTAATTAATTGGCTCCGTTCTCCAGGACAGAGACTCCCAGGCATAAGTGATGTCAACAGGGTGGGACTTGATGAGCAAACCTGCTCCACCAGCTCTAGGTAAACAGTTGGTTCTTTTAGTTTAAGGCTTTGATTCATGAAAAAAATGGAAATCTCTCCCAGAGAATAGCCTTTTGAACCCACATTGGGCATTCGTTGTTTACAGAGAGAGAGAAAAACTAGCTAATTCAAACAAAAGAACACAATTTGGTGAGGGGTGGGGGATGGAGTTACACTTTTCATATTCCACAATTGCCTGGGGCTTAGCCTTTTTGTTCATCATTTGTGAAATTAGTTGAGAGGCGTATGCTTCCTTATCATAGGCTTTGGGAGGCCACCAATTTTGCATACTACTTATGCCCTTTGTCACTGACCGAAAAGAAAAAGAAAAAAGAAAAGAAAAAATGCCTAAACTATTAGGGGAAACTGGCATGAGGCCTCTGGTAGGGTCCTCAGAGTGAACAAATCCAATCGTAAACTACAGGGACCTGGCGGGTGGGTGGGGCATGGGCTGATTTCAGATCTTAGACCTTCTATGCCCCTAGTCTCTCAAGCTCTGTCTACGGTAAACTACGTACAGCTTTGACTGGCTACCTAATGGATGCTCCATTGTAGCTAACATTGTGTTTCTCCTAGGCTGTGAATTTGATGGCTCATCGAAGAATCTGTTTTCAGTACAACTTTTGGTTATTTTGTCAGTATTCCCAGCCCTCTCTGCTTTGCTCATTTGGCGAATGTCCTTTGAGGGCAATGCTAATGTTCAGCTTTGTAAATGCGAAATCTGTATCTAACCTCTGAATTGGAATCTACAGCTGTCTACTATAAATACAGGAATTACGGCAAAGGATGTGGGAACTGGACTGCTTTTCTGTGTCGTACGAGCATTATTCTGGATAGTAAAGAAATTTAACCACACCATAGTCCAATGTAAAACATAAGAAAATGGTTTCAACTTAGCTTGATAGGTCCATCTATATTAGAAATCTCACACTTATTTGCATTGGCCTGGCCTTTTAAGAAGAGAGGAGTTGATATACCATATAGATACACATCCTTCTTGCTACCTTTACAATTTCCCCCTTTCCTCTCAAGGTACTAATGACCAAATTAAGATGAAATTATGCTAAAAAGATTCTCGTGATTAAATGCCTCCCTTTCTCTCTAGGACAAGGGAGCTAGGCAGACTTCAAACTACGGCCTTTTAGCTAGTACAGACCCCATAACAAAAAAGAACACCATTTCCTCTTCAACGGCTGAAAGGGCTGGTACCCCAGTCATTTCATACCCACTATAAGTGATAATAATTTCCATCTCCCCCATGCCATTTTACCAGTAAAGTTTGAGATGATGTAAACCCTTGCCCAATAATGACCCTAGATTGCTAGTGGGAGGAGAAAGAGAAATAAATTCTTTAAGTATCAGGGAAGGAGCAAAAAGAAAATAAAAAAAACTTTTTCAAAGTAATTTTAAACTTAGAGATAAGCTGCAAGAATAGTACAAAGAACTCGCTTATCCTTACCCACATTCCCCAACTGTTAACATTTTGCCACATTTGTATTCTGTGTGTGTGTGTGTGTGTGTGTGTGTGTGTGCCCACACATATTTTTTCTCAGCCATTTAGAATAAGTTGTAGACATCGTGTTCATTGACCTCCAAATACGTCAGTAGGTATTAGGAACAAGATTATCTTACATAATTCCAATACAAATATAAAAATCAGGAAATTTAATATTGCTATGATATTACATAATAACTACATAACTATGTAATACAGTCCATATTCAAATTTTACCTGTCGTCCAAACGTTGTTCATTATAAGAATTTCTTTTCCAGTTCAGGATCTAATCCAGGATCACAGATTGCATTTAATTATGTCACTATTTTAGACTCCTTTTAATCTGGAAGAGGTCTTCAGCTTTCCTTTGTATTTCATGACATAGTCCTTTCCTAAGACGACATTCAATTCAATATTTAAAAATAATTTACATCATTTTGGGTTTGTTTAATGTTTCCTCATTAGACTCAATTTGTTTGTTTTGATGTGGGTGGGAGTATCACACATGTGATATTGTATCCTCGATGAATCACATCAGGAGGCCGTGATGTTTCATCCCGTTGTTGGTAAAGTTAACATTGATCGCTTGGTATAAGTGAACCCTCCCCTCAGGTTTCTCCACTATAAATTTACTACTTTTCCAGTGCAATTAATAATTTTGGGAAAGAGATTTTAAGCCTATGTAAATTTCCTGTGGGTCATCAGTTTTTCACCCAATAATTAGTGCATCTATTTATTATTCTCATCCAAGTAAGTTATACTATAATGATTGCCAATTGGTTGGCACTCTACTGTGAAGAATGCTTTTCCTTCTTTCTGATTTATTTATTTATGTACTTATTATCACACAGACTCATTAACTTTTATTTTAGTAATTGGTTAAAATCCATTACTGTCAATTGCTATAAATGTAAGCAGTGAGAGCCCCTTCAAGATGACTCCTGTGACCCCTAGGCATATCTTGAACATTTTTTGAGCACTCCTTTACTTCCTGGTACAATAAGATGCTCCAGGCTCATCTCTACTCTCCGTACCCCAGTCCAAGAATCAGCAATTTCTTCAAGGAGCCCTAGTTTCATTAAATAGAGAATGGTACCTGACTCAGATCTGGATTCAGGATGTATTCATTGCTTTTAGTGGCTGAAACTAAGAAATATGTACATTTATATACTTATTAAAAACAATGAGTTCATATTGACATCTGCAATTCCAATCCTATACCAGAGGATTCTTCTTTTTCCATATTTGTATTGCCCTTCTCCAACAGTGAGAATCACCATTTGCTCAATTTGTTCAATCCTTAGAGTTTCAGAATTACAACATCCACATCACTGTGAAAAAACAACCTTTTAGTAAAGTTCCAATATTGGTTTCAGTTCTTTTCATCTTAAGAGTGAAGGGATATAGTCAAATTATTATGTTCAATAATTGCTTCCATTAATAAGGACACAGGTTGAACAAGCTAAACAACTCTGG